TGGGGCCTGTGTCCCAAGTGTCTGTATTAAGTTATTTGACACTCAAAGGCCCTAGTATGATGGCTGGCAATGGGGAAGGTACCATGAATAGCAGAACAGCCATAGTTTTCAAAAGCTCATCTCTCCAGTTTCAAGTTAGTAAAAACATATAGAACCTCAGGTAAGAGCAAACTAAGCATGATGGTGTTATATGGGGAGTTTCTTTTCTATAGCATAGGAAGGGGGTACGGAGAGAAAGGGAGAGCAGGAGAGAGAGAGAGGGAAGGAGAGAGAGTATGAGAACACAGGGAGAGAAGAGGAAAGGGTGAGAGCATATACACATATATATATGGTAATATATATATATATATATATATAATTATTAGCACACACACTGGAGTGTTTTGTTTTGTTTTGTTTTGCTGTCCCAGCATGTTTCCTACTGAATGACTGTTGGACAACAACCACAATGCATATATCTATGAGCTAACATTTCAGTAACCTAGTGACATTGAGAAATGTTACCTTTCTGTTAAATTTTACCAGGAAACTGAATGTCATTGTTGACCTGGTAAAAGTTTCTACTTCATGATGGCATATGCTAGAATACAAGCAAAGCTTGTATAGCCTTCAGGAGAGCAGATGGCCTTATATCTTGAGGCCATCCAGTTTGGGAGAGACATAGCTTAAAACACTGACATAGTTTTTGGTCACTTTGGGTTCTTATAGAAGTGTTGCAACAGGGCCAGTTCTATTTTCTTTTTTTATTGTCTGTCCTGGAGCTTGAACTCAGGGCCTGGGCACTGTCCCCGAGCTCTTTTGCTCAAGGCTAGTCTTCTACCACTTTGAGCCACGGTGCCACTTCCAGTTTTCTGGTAGTTAATTAGAGATAAGAGTGTAATGGACTTTCTTGCCCCGGCTGGCTTTATACTGTGATCCTCAGATCTCAACTCCCTGAGTAGCTAGGTTTCCAGTCGTGAGCCACAAGCACCTGACTCAGTTTTATTTCTAAAAGAGGAATAGTTGGTCATTGTTTTCTGTGAACCATCATCCCAGCCCTGCCCCCTACAGTTACTTTGAAGGAATTGTACAGTCAGTGTCCCTAGTATGGAGTGCTGGCAGCTTGGAATTAATAATTCACAGTGATTTTACTTCAAACAATAAAAATGAAATGGAAATGAAAACAATACATCTTGTACACAGGAGAAGAGAAAAATGTTGGCAATGCTAATTGTGAAACACTAACATCAGAGGCACACAAAAAGTTGAAAATATCTCAACAAACCTTCATGTGAAGCCCTGTTAGGTACCTTCATAATATGTGATTGTAAATGTATGTGCACATGTATATGAATTAATAAACTCTGTAGGTAGCTGCCTAAAGGTTTTAAGCATGTCTAAAGGACCGTGATGTTTTTCTCTTGCCAAGACATGCTTTTGAGATGCTGCCTGGCAAAACAAGAATCAGTTTATCTTCAGGACTACAGAGTTTATTCAGGCTCTTAATCATATACTTTAATTTTCTTTTGATTTATTTTTACTGCCAGGGGAAGATTTTCACTGAAGTAGAGAGATAAGGAATGGAGGAACAAGTTGATATCAGTTGTATTTTTAGGAGTAGAAGCATCAGCAATGTTGATAATCACAATGTATCTTCAAAGCTCAAAGGGTTTGGGAGATCATGTGAAGAGGAGGGCCATCTCAATGCTTAGTAAACAAGACATGCAGCCTAAGGTGGAAAATGATGAGAAGGATTCGCTATCGCAAGATTAATGACATTGGAGCTATTTTCATCTCTCACTTTGTTTTTTGTTTTGTTGGTTATGGGGCTTGAACTCAGGGCCTGGGCACTGTCCCTGGCAAGACTAGTGCTCTACTACTTGAGCCACAGCACCACTTCCGGTTTTTGTATTTTTTATTGGAGATAAGAGTTTCACAAGGACATGTCTTCCCAGCCTGGCTTCAAGCTGCAATCCTCAGATCTTAGCCTCCTGAGTAACTAGGGTCACAGGCATGAGCCACAGGCACCCAGAATCTCTCAGTTTTAAAGAGAAGTCAGTCATTGCTGTTGTTCATTGCTTGTCCCTGGGCACTCAGCAGCTTCCATGAAGCACCATCTCCTTCCTGGGCCTCAGCTTCCATGGCCAAAAGACAGCTTGGAGCTCACCCTTCTCTAGTCATGCATTAGCCTTCCCTACTTTCTTCTACCTTAAGTTTGGTATAAAATGCTAGATTTCACCTGCTGTTGCCCACCCAGCTCCACAGAGGGCACAACATGTATTTTATACTTCTTAAATGTTCATGAAAACGTTCTTAATTTTAACATAAGATAATCATGTTTCTGGCGTCAGAAGATAACAAGAACAACAGAAAAAAAATACTCTACTTTTTGTATGTATAAATGTATCAGTCCTGGGGCTTGAACTCAGGGCTTGGGCACTGTCCCTGAGCTTCTTTCGCCCAAAGCCAACACTCTACTACTCGAGCCACAGACCCATTTCTAGCTTTTTGTTGCTAGTTTATTGGAGATAAGAGTCTCACAGACTTTCCTGCCCAGGCTGGCTGTGATCCTCAGATATCAGCCTCCTGAGTAGCTACAATTATATAGGCATGAGCCACCAGTATCCAGCTAAAATTACTTTTGTTTTTAGAGAATTGATACTTTGTGGATTCACTCATGTTAAATAGCAAATGAGAACTGAAGTCATTGGATATCACTGGCTAAAATGGTGTCTATTGTTGTGAGAGAAATGAAAACAAAGGAGTTTACTTTGGGGCCATCTGTTGTTACCCCATACCACACAGCTTGTCTTGAAATGTGGATCTTGAAATGTGGACCTGGCCACAGCAGTTTTTAATTCTTCAATGTAGACACTTTTTTTTCTTTTTTCTTTTTTCTTTGCCAGTCCTGGAGCTTGAACTCAGGGCCTGGGAACTGTCCCTGAGCTTCTCTGTGCTCAAGTAGCACTCTACCACTTGAGCCACAGCCTCACTTCCAGCTTTTTCTGAGAGTTTATTGGAGATAAGAGTCTCAAGGACTTCACTGCCTGTGGCCATCCTCAGATCTTAACTTTCCTGAGTAGCTAGGATTAGGGGCATGAGCCACTGGCGCCTGGTGTTGCAGACACTCTTAAATTATGGACACACCTCACATTCTTTGAGTATAGTCTTCTGTTCAGGAGGCTTAGAATTTCTTTCTTTAATTTTAGAGGTATGTTTCACAGACAAATTATAAAGCACTTTGATTTTTCTTCAAAATCATAAAATAGAGCCAAACAACATTGGCTTACACCTGTGATCTAAAATCTAGAGGATCAAGATATCAGGCCAAGCCCAGGCATAAATGACCATGAAAGTATTCTAAAATAGGCTGAGGAAACATGGATTAAGTAATAGAGTACCACCCAAGCAAGCAAGCCAAGCAAGTGCCCACTGGTGGATCATGCATATAATCCTAGCTTCCTAGGAGGCTCAGAATGGGAGGATCAAAGTTCAAAGCAGAAGTGTGTGAGACCCCTTTTCAATGGAGAGCAGGTAGATTGGTACAAGCCTGTTACCCTAGCTACAATGAGAAGCCTAATATAGGTAAATAGTGAGACCCTATCTCAAAAACAAGTGCAGACTGGTAATGTAGCTCAGCAATGAAGCACTTTCCTAGCAAATGTCAGGCCCTGGGTTTAAACCCTAGTATTGCTGAAAAATATAAATAAATAAATAAAAACACTGAATGGTAGTCTTGTTGGAAAGCATACTTACATGTGCTACAGGTGTGGAACTCCCAATACCCAGGCTGCTCCCGTGGTCTGAAGAGGACGACCTTACGAGATACTGACTTTTATATATGATAAGGAATTAATTGAACTGCTTCAAACACTTCTAACTGTGGTGGGACTGATGTTTATTACTGTGCTAGGTGGGGATGTGAGGTAACTGGGGCGGGCTCTTGGATCATGCACAAAGGCCCTCCCTATCCTAGGCTGGCAAATCTCGACCCCTAGACTTGCCTCGAACCCCCTGTGTAGCCAATGCTATTCTTACCAATGTAATCCTGTTAAAACAGCCTTTACAGAGGAAGGAAAAGGATAACTAACTGGGAGGTGGGTCTGCCATTAAAACAAAAAAAGAGGGGGGGAATCTGTGGGGAACACAGGCAGCAAAGATGGCGCTGAGAGGGAGTTGAGTGGGCAGAGCCCAATTTACTGTAGCGCACATGGGCAGCAAAAATTGCGCTGAGAGAGAGTAGAGTGGGAAAAAGTCCAATTTACCTTACGTTCAGTGCACTGGTGCATGATAGGATGTGACCTTGACAGTGATTGGTTCCTCTTCCTCCCCTACCATGCCACCCGCCCTTTTTTGGGGCTTTAAAAAGGGCTGCTCTCTGTTAATAAATGAGTTTTCTACCTGCTTGAAAAAAATAAATAAATATAAACACTGAATGGTAGTCTTGTTGGAAAGCATGCTTACTGATATCGTGCATATAAAGATTTGACAATATTACATTGCTGTGTGGATTGTATACTGGGAATATGAAACTGTGTCCAGCTATTAAACTTCAGTAGTCCAGTTGAATCCAGTTCCAATATTTGTGATGAGTTTGAGATGTTAGCTGATCTTAGTCATAGCTAGAGCCCATGCTGAAAGTAGTTTTGTGTCTCAGAAACTGCAGTTGTCTTCTACAAATAAAATGCACTTCACCAGTTAGCGTGGGCAAGCCAGAAACCACTGGGTTGATACAGCCACTCCCCTTCCTCTCTCACGATTCTTCTGTTCTTTGATCTTTGAAGAACTGAATACTAGCTGCTGGTTGTTTTCTAAATAAAGTGAATTCCTCCTTTCCCAGCTGTGTTCCCTGTTCAAATGTCTGGCAGGTTCCACCTGAATTGTATAGCATCTTTTCAAGGACCTTTGTCCTTGTGAGTTAACCAACTAACACATGCAATGGCCATTCTGTGGTGAAAAATCCTAATGCTGTTTTATTGCCAGTCCTAACTCTGTCTTACCTGTGTGCTTGTGCATTTCAGGAAAAAAGTGCCACCTCTAATGCAAGACTTAAAACTAATAAGGAAATTCCGGGATTAGTCCATCAACCCAGAGCAAAGTAAGTCCTAGTTCTTGTTTTCTTTTAAAACTAAAAAAATGCTTTCAGAGTGAGTTCTGTGCGGCCTACAATGTAACCAAGATTTATAGCAAAGTTTTAATAATTGAGGTAGTGTGGCCCTGCAAAGCATATTGAAGCCAACATTTTCAGGAAAATAAAAAGAAATACCTTTATCATGAGATGACATTGAAAGCAAATTTCTTGTAAGACATGAAAGATACCCAGATCTTAAGAAAATCAGTAATTAAGGTGGGTGCACTAAAACTAAGAACTTTTATTTATCAAAATTACTATAAAAGACTAAAGTTCACAAAAGAGAATAAGATCATGTAAATAGTTGTCATTGCCTTTTAAGGATGTAGAAAGTAATTCTACAAATGAGTAGGCAAAAGACAAAGAGCCCTTAAAAAAAAATCTAACCATGTGAACAATCATTTTACTAGAGATCTACAAATGGCAGATGTTTATGAAAAGCAATGCCATTCTATACCACCAGACTGGATACATTTGATATAAAGTTTACCAGGATGTGGAATAGTACCTTTAACCCCTGCTGGTAGGCATATATATATATATATTGGTTCAATTTCTTTGGCAATCAATTTGCAATATCTAGTAAAATTGAATCTAGGTGCAGTTTACCCTCTAGCAACTGCACTCCCAATTATATATCCTTGGGAAACTCCTGTAATGCTCGTACAACTGACATGTTTTGATATATCCATAGCAGCATTGTTTGCATGAGCTATTGAAGGTAAAGGCTCATCAAAAAAAGAAAAGAAATGATTGCTTTATTTATAGTAGCTCACACCTCTACTTCTAGCTACTTAGAAGTCTGTGATCTAGGGAATCAGAGTTTAAGGTCAATCTAGACAGAAAAGCCTGAACAATTCCATCTCCAAGTAACCAGCAAAAAAAGCTGAGCTGGAACAGTGGTTCAAGTGGTACAGTACGTATGACTGCTAAGCAAACATGGCTGTTTTCATGTTGCTACTATTACCTCTGTGGAAGTTAGTGACAACTGTAGACTGTTACAGTAGGAGGGACTCAGAGGCAAGCTCTCTTTCTAGGTGAGGCGGCAAAGGTCCTGTACCTCACCTGTGCTAGCAAACTGTGCTACTACTGCCAAGCATCTGAATTGTAAGAATTGAATAACACTGCACTTTATTAACAAATATTTCTTATTTTACCATATGTACAAGGCAATATATGTTTAGAACTTGAGCCAGAAAATGTCCACTTGAACACCAACTCCTAGATATGACATTGTTATGAAGACTTTGCACACTTCTCAGAAACCCTATATATACATATGGTTATCTCATTATCTTAAGATATATATCTACCTCTTAATGCCTTTTCTATCTGGGGCCTATAGCAGTCCAGAAACCTTCTCTGTTAAAGAGTTTGGCCCAAAACCAAAAGGAACAAAAGTGTCATAAATGTCAATTGTGCACTGCACCCTCAGGAATGTCACCAGTTCCTTCAGCACCATATTCATTACTTTTTGCAGTGACAAAACCAAACAAGTTGAAAGAGGAAGGACTGATCTTGCCCAGTTTCAGAGCACTTAGCCAGGCCTCATGTGCTGGCACAACTCATGGTGTCAGGAGCATGTGGAGGAGAGGCTGCTCACCTCACAGTGGACAGGAAGCAGAGAGACTAGAAGGAACTGGAGACCCAGTACAACTTTCAAAGGCATGCTCCCTGTGACCAACTTCCTCTATCTAGATCCTACCTCATAAAGGTTCCTGAACCTCCCAAAATAGCACAACCAGCTAAAAACTCAGAGATCAACATATGAGCCCATGGGAAATGCTTCAAATTCAAGCCGTGACAGAGTCTGGCTTTGCTCTTTTCAAGCCTAGGGTAGAAGCAGCAGCTGGGGGGAAAAAAAACAGAAGGAAGACTGATATTACTCTAACAAGAAGAGATGAGAGCAGGATCTTTAAAGCAAACCCCACAAGGGTTTCAGGCCATTTTGCTCATAGCCAGCCAACTCCATTCATACAGTTGGTTCTGGGTATCAGGGAAAGAGCATTATGAATTAAGATCACAGGAATGGCCTCACTCCAAAATCAAAGTTAAGTGGTATTTGTAGTATCTCTACTGAATATTCTACTTAGGAAGGTTTGCAGTTTTAAAAAACTTTTTGATATAACCAGATGCTATGATGCAAATCTGTAATCCTGCCTACTTGGAATATGGAAATTGAGGAACCACAGTTCAAGTCTGGCTTGCGCATCAAAGTTTGTGAGACTTGGGGCTGGGAAGGTGGCTCAGTGGTAGAGTGCTTGCCTTGCATGCATGAGGCCCTGGATTCAATTCCTCAGTACCACATAAGTAGAAAAAGCTGGAAGTGGTACTGTGGCTCAAGTGGTAGAGCACTAGCCTTGGGCTGAAGAGCTGAGGGACAGTGCCCAGGCCCCACGACTGACCAAAAAAAGTTTGTGAGACTCTACCTCAGCCAATGCTGTGCGAGGTGGGCACTTGTCATCCTGGCTCCAGAGGCAGGCACAGTGGTGGGTACAGTATGGCATGTCTGTCATCCCAGTGACTCCAGGAAGCACAAGCAGAAGGTCCACACTCCAGGCTGACTGAGAGATAGAGTGAGATCTACCTTCAAAATAAATGTGAAAATGAACTAGAGGCATGCCTAGCAAAGAGGAGCCTCTGAATTCAAACCACCAAAGAAAAAGTACTTAAGCAAGTACTTGCTTAAGAAGATAAAATCATGTGGAATCAAGGGAAAGTCAGTACATAATAAATGACTTTTTCCCAAAAAAAAATTGTGTGTGTATGTGCGCACATACACATGCACAGGCCATTCCTGAAGTTTGAACTTAGGGCCTGAAGTCAGCATTCAACCACGTAAGCCATTGCTCCACTTGTGGCTTTTCAGTTAATTGAAGATGAGTTTCACAGATTTTCCTGCCCAAGCTTAGCTTTGAACTGCGATCCTCAGATCTCAGCCTACTGAGTAGCATGAGTCATCAGCACCTGCTTCTCCTTATATTCTAATCATCCAAAATTATGTTATTCCTTTCATAGAGAGGAAGTTTGCCAAACAGAACATTTTCCTTTTTTTTCCCAGTGATCTAATGGATGGCAAAATTACAAATATGTGTGAAAGTGCTTTGTAAACTGTGAAATAATTAATGGTGTCAGGTATTTGCATTGTTTGCCTTTGCTATCAGAGTTGAAATCATGTGCCTGCAGAGTTTGAATATTGGCTTTGCACATAGGGAGAAACTGGAAGCCCCACTGTCAGCACTGTTTTGTATCACTTGTGCCTCTCCTCTGTGTCCATAAATGCTGAAGAGGTACATCAGGTGAACTCTCCACAATTAGGTTTTGGTTGTCTATGTAGTTCTGGGGATTGAATTCAAGGCCTTACACTTGCTGTGCAAGCATTCTACCATTTGAACTACACTGTCCGTCAAGTCCTTTTTCTTTTAGTTTACTTTTCATACTAACTTCGCCTTAGCCAGTATATTCTATCACCACCTTCTGAGTAGCTACTAGTAGGCATGTATCACCACATTAGCCCAATACAACTAGTTTGAAAAGAAAAAGCTATTCAACAATTTACCCTCCATCCCACCCCAAACACCACAATCAATTGGTATTAACATAAACTGAAAGAATGCTAAGTATGTCTGTCCCTCAGCATCTTCAACCTCCTTAGAATAACCACAACTATTTACTTGGTAGAAATAACTACTCTTAAGACCAAGTTACTACTGAGATCCGTATATACCACCCTCTCACCCTTCCCAATGCATGACTCTTCTCTTATTACCTTGCTTTCTCACCTTGAGTCACCACCAACCACGTCAACCATCTAAGGCTGTTAGATTATACAGAACAAACAAAACACAGGGCAAGTGCTATGCAGACATGCTTTCTGACATTCCAGTGCAGTGAGATGCATTTGTTATCGCCCATGCAGGAGGCCATGGAACAATGTCAGATCTTCCTTGTGCTCTGTGCTCATTGGTCTCCAGCCCACTCATGTGGATAGAGACAGCTGTGTACCATGTTGATCTGTCAACATCTCTTATATATGTCCTTCAATAACTGGGAAACAGTGGGGGGGTTTGTTTGCTTTTGTTTTTTTGTCAGACATGGGGCTTGAACTCAGGACCTGGGTGCTGCCCCTGAACTCTACCACTTAGGCCCACAGTATCACTTTCCATTTTCTGATGGTTAATTGGAGATAAGAGTCTCACAGACTTTCCTGCCCAGGCTGGCTTCCAACCCCAAATCCTCAGATCTTAGCTTCCTGAGTAGCAAGGCTCATAGGCATGAGCCACCACCACCCAGCTTATGGATAGTTTTGGGTTTTTTTTTTGTATGGGTCTATGTAGAGTTGGAATGTGCTAGGTGCCACTTGCTTTTTATTTCTTCTTATAAATATGTTCTTGAAAAAATGTTTGGCACATACCTCCCAGTAATGGTACTACTATAAATAATATCCATACATTAAAAGGAAATAGTATTCCTTCACTCACAGGCAATGATAGATTATTAGGAAATACATTTGCAAGATGATAGCAATGGCATTTGTTCTTAATGTAACATTAAAGTATTTCAGTGAAAAACTCTAAAAGTTTAAAGATGCATCATTTTTCATTGGAAGGGCTGGGTTTGTTGAAAATAAAGACTTAACTCTTTGTTTTCCAGCATGCACATCTCTGAGAGCCAACAAGAATTCTTCAGGATGCTGGATGAAAAAATTGAAAAGGTAAGAAGTCAAATGCATGGACCACATATTTCAAGGGAAATATGTTCTAATTAATTTACAAAATAGGATAACAACATTCTATGTGTTATAAGCTTTTTGTAAAGGTGGAGAGTTAAAGCAATTAAGGGTGCTAGGGTATTATTCCAGTGGTACATGCTTATCTAGCAAGGTCTGAGTTCAAACCCTTATACCTCCAGAAAAGAAAATATAGTATAATGTTGGATGTGCAATGGTGCCCCTGAGATGCTGGATTCCCCCTTCTTAATAAAATGTATCAAAGTCAAACAGAGACTAGGAAACAGCCTTGGCCTTGGCAGCCAGTCCTTGTCACTATGGGTCATCTAGCACCTGATGCAACGTAGACTCAGACTCCTAGGAGTCTAGTGGATGCCCTTCTGCCTACAAAATTCTATGGAACACCTACTATAAACTTGACACTGAGCTGAGTTCTTCACTGACATCTTACACCTGCTGCAGTCAGTACCTCCTGCAGGATGATGGTGTGCTTCTCTCTAGCCCACACCTATTCAGTTGTCGCAGGTGATATGGATGGCACCAGGGAATTTTATAGACCGGAAAACCCGCTGAAACATGCCTGAGTCATTTAAGCAGAGTCACATGTCTGTGTGGAAATGCATCTGTAGTTTTCAGCTCAGAATGCCCATATGCTAGTGAACTGAGCAGCATATGGAAAACAGCAGTCAATAAGGGCTGACACCCTTGCAGAATTTAAATTCATCACTACAGAGAAATGACTTGTAAATGTTAATGTTACAAATCTTAGCATTGTCTTTTATGAACTTTATTGTAGAGATGAGTAAAATTCTGCATTCAGAATACCAGAACACCATGGTTATCATAAGCAGATTCACAATGTATATACAATGTTTTTACAATGCAATATAATATATATATATATATATATATATATATAGTCACTTAGTTGAAGATAATAAAGGGGTCTTAAGTTCCTCAATAAAGTAGCCCTACTTTGAAGGGGATCCCTAAAAGAATATTGCATAATTTTCTGCCTTCATTACAGGATGAGCATATTGCAGCAGTATGTAAGATGCAAGAGATAATGAATTTCAATGGTAGTTTACTCTGCAGCAGTCCCTGGCTATGTATATTTTAAAGTGTAACCTTTTTTAAAAATTTTTCATTGAAATTCTGGCATATGCATGACTTTTCAGATTGAAAACTTCATCTAGGAGCAATTACCAAGTATCACATATTGGTCCAAAAGCTGTTCAGCTTGCTGATAACACTTTGTTTTAGTAAAGAGAAACATAAAGAGAAATATTTTGTTCCCACAGTAATGATAAAGATCTTTCCTCTTTCTGTTTGTTTGGGTTTTTCCCTTTTTGGTAATAAAAAGATCCGCTTAGTAGTTAAAGGAAAAATTGAAACCTGGATGCTGTCTTTTTATTTTATTTTTTTTTGTTATTAAAGAAGCAACTTTATTGAGAAGGTTCCTACACTGACTGGCCAGGGCCACAGCACAGACTCGGGGAGCTGATACTGTGACCCCCTGGATGCTGTCTTTTTAAACAACATGTGTAAACCCTGACAAGGCATTGAAGATGATTTAATCTCACTTCAACATGGCTGTATAATTAAAATTCTACCTCCTTCCCTTTAAAACTGAAGTGCATTACTACCACCTGAAATCTGATTTTCCTTTTTCCTTTTGCTTCCAGAGTACAGGGTATGATGTGTTTAGCATGACGAAAACAAAGTTAATAACATCATTTGCTAGAAACGTCCCTAAACCAAGAGGCACTTGGAGGCCAACAAAAATAGTAGTCTCACTATTGATTACATATATGTGTTTATGCCCATGTGTGTGTTTGTGTGTGCTTGGGATCAAACCTAGGACTGTAGTACGCAATCACTCTACCACTAAGCTATTTTTAACTTTATTTATATTTAGAGAAAAGCTGTTATTTCATTTGACATGTACCTAGTTGATTTCTATGGAGAACTTTCTATGCTCTGAGCTGTGATTTTTCTGTTTCTCTCCTCCTTCCTAAAGTTTATCTTTTTGAGTATGTTCTTCTACTTATCATTTGAATATTAAGCTTCCAGAAATTAAAACGCTCTTTCCTGATATGTGTGTGTGTGTGTGTGTGTGTGTGTGTGTGTGTGTGTGTGTGTGTGTGTCTAGTTTAATGTAATCTTTACCATTGTTTATATAGTGGAAATTGAAACTTAAATTCTTCCAGGTTGTTTTTCTGGGTTTTACTGTTGCTGAAGGTTTCTTTGTCCAATGCTAGCAACCTTATAGCTCTGATACATTTTTAGAATTTCTTAGACTTTATTTTAAAAAATGAAAGAAAGGAAGAAAGAAATGAAAATGATTAAACTCACCTAGAGCTTTACACTGAGAAAGGGAGTCATGCTAAGAGGTCTTGGGTTTTAAGATTTCATCTTTTCTGACAATATTCAGGAATTCCATTCTCCAGTCCTTAAATTGTTTTAAAAAGAAATAAAATAAAATCGGATTGATTGGAGATGGTAGCCTGCCCTTCCTTGAACAGTCCATTGTATCTATTGCATTTGTTAGTGTGGCTTGAAAATTGCCTTCCATATCTCCTCTCTGAATACCAAACAAAAATTTCTACACTGTTTCTCAGAATAAATGGAAGATCACCATTAGTATTCTGAAACTAGAGCTTTCAATTCTGTAACCTTTACAATGGAACTTACTTTCGATTTATCTTGAGCTACTTTGCTTTCAAGTTGTAAAGGGCTACAGGGCACCCTCATACCTCATCATACAAATGATTTCCTAAGAAGGTAATAAGGAGTAAAATAGTGGTTTTATCTCTAGTCTTTCACTGAAAAATGATTCTGCACATACCATGTACCACTAGTTTCTCAAGAAATAAAAATAGTTAAGAAATATTGGGGGGCTGGGAGGGTGGCTCAGTGGTAGAGTGCTTGCCTTGCATGCATGAGGCTCTGGGTTTGATTCTTCAGCACCGCATAAGCAGAAAAAGCCAGAAGTGGCACTGTGGCTGAAGTGGTAGAGCACTAGCCTTGAGCTGAAGAGCTGAGGGACAGCGCCCAGGCCCAGAGTTAAGGCCCCACGACCAACCAAAAAAAAAAAAAGAAAAGAAAAAAGAAATATTAGATACAAAATAATTGGGGACTAGTGCTTGTCTGGGTAAGTTCCATTTTTAAGATAAGTGCCTTTGAAATATATTCTTTTTTAGGGGGGAGGGTCTGGTCATGGAGCCTGAACTCTGGGTCTGGGCACTGTCCCTCAGCTCTTCAGCTCAAGGCTAGCACTCTACCACTTGAGCCACAGCACCACTTCTGGCTTTTTTCTTTTTGCTTATGTGGTGCTGAGGAATGGAACCCAGGGCCTCAGGCATGCAAGGCAAGTGCTCTACCACTGAGCCACCTTCCCAGCCCTGAAATATATTCTTTTACAGAGCACTCACTTTGAAGTGAAGGAGTTTTTTTTACAGTTGAAGGAGTCCATCCTTCATCACTGTTCACATCCATACCCCTGCCCTATACTGTCCACAGGGCTTGCCTCGTAGGTCAGGTGTGGAACTTCAGGTCCATTAACCAAGCAGCTTGGCTGCTTCCAGGTCACTTGGTGCAATTCCACTGTGCAGCTCAGTGGAAACCTGGCTCCCTACTATATCTGGAAACATCCAAGAAACAGATGTGGGTCAGCAAATAGCAAAGTTGAAAGGAGCTTAGTAATTGTTGGCTTACTTTTGCTTTGCCTTTTAGAGAGAAAAACTTATTACGAACCAGGAGAACCAGCTCATTACTGTTTTTTTTAAAAAAAAAAACTTATTGTACAGGTGATATATAGAGTGATTATAGTTACAAAAATCAGGTAATGAGTACATTTCCTTTTGAACAGTCTTCCAGTTTTTCCTTCCCTACCCCTTTTCGCCAACAAGTTGTATAGTTTATTTTCAGCATAAGTTCTAGTGAATATCATTGCTGCATTTGTTCACCTTTTGTCCCACCATTTCTGTGGCCTGCCTCCATCCCAAAGACAGATAACCGAACAAACAAGACAAAAAGAAAACAGAAACAGCAGCAAAGAAAAAAATGCTGCTGTCATTTCTTAGCGTTCATTTCAATGAATACTATTTTGTACAGTGAGATACACATAGCATTGCACCTTTGTGTTCCTCTCCTAAGAATAGCCTCTGGTCTCACTGTGTGTGAATGTCTAGCGTCCCATATAATTTATCATGTCCAAATATATTTTAGAGCTATCTTCCTTATATGAAAGAAAACATGTGCTCTTTTTCTCTGTGAGCTTGGCTTACCTTACTTAACACGATTTGTTCTAAACCCATCCATTTCCCTACAAATGACATAATATTATTCTGTCTAATGGCTGTGCAAAATTCCACTGAGTATAGGTACAATTCATTACTCTTTAGCTGCTTATTTTTTTCACTCTGAAATCTGTCCATTATTCCACTGGGATCTGTAGATGTTATTGTAACTGACAAGACACAGACTCCTAGAACTTTGTTGAAGTATTGGCATTTGCTTTAAGAAAATACCACAGAGGGGCTGCTCCCGCCATCTTCGGCCTCCGCCATGGCTAGCAGCCGCGCCGGGGCGGCGGCAGCAGCAGCAAATCTGAATACAGTGAGAGACCAGGGACATTCTTCTTGAGATTTCAAGAATTTTGAATACTGGTTTAGATATGGAAACCCTGTCTATTTGTGTACGGCTTTGTGAACAAGGAATTAACTCAGAAGCCTTATCATCTGTTATTAAGGAGCTTCACAAGGCCTCTGAAGCACTCAAGAAATAAAGAATATGTGAGCCAGCTATTTAGGAAAGGATGGCTACTAGGAGTGAAATAGTTATGGACTGTATGACCTGGGTAAATCCCTTGGGTCAGTATTCTCTCATAATTCTGGTAAGAAAAATAAAAAGAAATAGCTGGTCATGGTGGATCAAGCCTGCAGTCTAGCACCTCAGGAGGCTACTGGAAATATGACAAGCTG